TCCAGCCTTTTCATCCTCCCTCTCCAAACTCCCCTCTTGCTCCCCACTTCCCAGTTGAGAACTTTGCCTCACATTTCATTTAAAAAACGGAGCCCATTCTGAGTTCCCTCTTCTCTCCTGTTCCTCATCTCAGATCTCTCATTCCTGTCAGCTATCTTTTCCTTCACCTCTATCTCAAATAAATAGGTGGCCATTCTCCTTGACAAGGCAAACCTCTCCATGTAGAAATGATCCTAATCCATCCTTTCTTTTTCCAGAAGATTGCCCCTCTATCATCCCTGCACTTTCACAGTTGTCCCCATCTACTGGCTACTTTTCTACTGTTGATAAACATGCCCTTGTCTCCCCCATTCTCAAAAACCACTTGATCCATCCATCTCTGATATCTGTCATCCTACATCTTTCCTTTCTTGTGGCTAAAACTCTTTGAGAAAGCTGTCTACAATAGGTCTCTCCTCTTTTCCTCCCTTCCTTTCCTTCTCTCCCTTCTCTTTTCTTTCCCCTCCCCCTCCCTCTTTCTCTTCCTTTCCCTTTCTGTCTTCTCCCTCTCCCTCTCCCTCTCTTTTTCCATTCACTCCCCCTGTTCCCCTCCCCGGGGGAGTTGGAGGGCTTTGTCATGGTTACCCTGGGTGTCTAGTATCTGGTCCTTATCTCTTTGTATGCTCAGAAATTCTTTTTTTCAGTAGTCTACTAAGAAAGGACCAAAGTCTGAGGAAATGATTCATAGTAATCGAGCTCACAACAGCAACTGATAAAATAGCACGCCACTTTGTAGTTTACTTGGTATTTGAAGTATCGGTCCAGCCCCTACAGCCATCATTGAGGGGAGAAATCCTTATGGAGGAGAAGCCCACCTTCCTGATCACCATGAAAGACAACTGCTAACTGCCAACAACAGGCAGAAAGGCAGAGGAGCCCTGGGAAGGGCAGCACCCCCAAATTACCAGTCCAGCTCCCAGCTCGGCCCTCACAGCTCCCATCCATGGGATCATCTCCTGTGGGTAAGGAGCCAGCCATCCTCACCAACTGCCAACCAACTGTCACCTCCAGGGCAGACGGGCCAGCCTGGCTGAAGAAGTTGGGCACCCGGGGGATGAGACAGGAGGCAGCATGGGCCAGACAGGTCAGGCACCAGCTCCCTTGACTGCCATCTCCCCTCAGGCCCCAAGAGCCTTGGGAGTAGCTGTGCTTCCCCCGCTGCCCAGAGCCACCCCCCTGTGGAGATGTAGCCCTGCAAGTACTCTTGCAGGGGCCTGAAGACGCAGAAAGGAAAGTTCTTGTCACCAGAGGCCTTATACCTGTCAAATGACTAACATCAGAAACTGACATTTTATCAGTGGAAATGATCCTAAGGAGAGGCCTGACCCTCTGCTTTGTCATTGTACCCTAAAGACCAGGGGACCTTTCCATCTGATGTGCAGCTGAAACCTTCCCTAAGGGTTGTCCCCCCCCCACTAAAGTGTAAGCTCCTGGAGGGCAGGAACTTACTTATTTTGGTTGTATATGTATTCCCAGTCCTTAGCTTAATGCCTGGCACATAGTGAGTGCTTGATAAATGCTTGTTGACTTGACTCAAGAAGAGGACCAAGTACTGTTCACGTGGTACTAGGGTTGTTTCTGAGGCTGTGGTTTTTGACATATTAAGGCCTAGTAGACTTTGAAAGTTGAAGTCAAGCTGGAACTGCCCATCACTTCATAAGTACTCAGGGCTTCCACTAGAGCAACAGAAATCGTTTATACTGCCAGAGAGAACACTGGTGGAAAAACTAGTGTTCTCATTCCCTGCTGTGCTTTAGTGCTTTCTATGGAAATAACCAGTCCCCACAGCCAATAGCCCTTCCTGGGGATTTTAGGGATTTGTTGATGAATACTTTTGTGAAGTAGCTGTTTTTTTTTTTTTAATGACTAGTGTCTTCCCATATTCCTTTTTTTGTAAATAGCTGAAGTTTGCTCACATTTGAAGTCCTAGTTTCATATTTAAATGACAGTAATTGCTATTACATTGGCTTTTTTGTGTGACTGAAAATGACCTTTTTACAATTTGCTTAACATTTATTTTATGTAGTATCACTCTGAGTAAGGTAGACAAATTGGGAGCTGTCTTCATGCTGACACTGAGAGTTGAAGGAGGAATGTGGAAAGAAAGTTAGGAATAGGGAAAGGGTTTGGAGGAAAAACCAGCCTTTAAGAGTACATAGAAGTGATTTATAGTTCAGCTTTCTTACCTTCCTGAGATTCTAAGGGTTAAGATGCCTTATTGATGAAAGAAGCTAAATGTTCCAGATTCACTTGGGGAAGCCACAGTATAAAGGTGGGTTGTTTTTGACTTCATTTATTCCATGTGTAAGCTGAATCCCATTTTAACAAGCTTGAAGGGACAACAGAATTGCAGCTGGGTATCCAAGCCATGGTTAGATGGAAGTCACTTGCTTTGTAGTAAAAGTCACTTTATAGTAAAGGGCTGTGCTGGACTTTTGTTTGTTTACGTAAAGCGGGTGTTAGTTGCACTTGAAATGTGTTCAGGAATTTGAATGACTCAGTGACTACAGTTGAAATCATGGGACCTGGGCTGAGCAAATCTACCTAATGGAGCTTCTCTCCATAATTGATACTAGCTTACTTAATAATTAGTGCTTGCTAGCCAGTTCACCCACAAGTTAAGACATCAGCCTGTGATGTGATTGGTTGTCTTTGACAATGGGGGACCGACAACAACAACTTTTGAGTTCTTTCCCCTTCCTCTCAAGGTCCGGCGAGGGAGGCACTGATCAATTGCTTTTTATCTTTCTGTAAAACTCGCATTTATTTTTCATCCATCCATCTAAATATTTGTCTGTCTGTCTATCTCCATAGGGAATCTTTGTTATTCCACAAGTATAGGTGATGTTTCCTCCTCATCCCTGACCCTGTCTCACAGACCTCAGATACACACTGTCCTTCCACATTCAAGTCTATCTATGTATGTTATCCCAAGGCTTAAGGTTTTTTCTCATTTTGTAAATATAGCGATTTAAAGAAAAAAATTTTGTTTTTTTTTGCTTTCGTCCCAGATCTACTTTAAGGATTCATATCTGCAAGGGAGCTTGATCTGGGGGCTAGATAACACTTCTCCCAGCATACTTCAGCAGCAGTAGTTGATTAACATTTAGCAGTAAATGAGAGGCTTGAGCAAAGTGCTGGGCACAGTGAATTTGGGAACAAAGTGGCATATATGTCTATTGTTTAAAGGGGAATATGAAGCATTAGTGCCTGAAAATTTCCTTCGAAACTCAGCTCAAAGCCTGCCTTTTACAGTTTCCCATTTGCCTGTTCCTTCCCCTCTGAGATTGCCTGCCATCTACTCAGTGTATGACCTCTGTGGACCTATTTGTTTACATGTTGTTTCCCCTGTTAGAAGCTCTTTGAAGGCATGAACTGTTTCTGCCTTTTTTTGCTTTCCCCTGTACTTAGTAAGTAATCAATAAACATTTATTGAGCACCTACTGTGTGTGCTGTGCTAAGTGCTAGGGATGCAAAAAAAGGTAAAAGTTCCTGCAGGCTTTGCCACGTGGGAAGCAGTTAATAAGTGTTGACTGACTCATTGTATTGACCTTTGTAAGTCAGAAGTTTAGGGGTGGAGAGAGGAATGGAGAATCCTGGCTTTTTTCAGGGTGCTCTGGTTGTGTGTTAGCAGTCTAAAAAGAGCGTATAGATAATTCAGTAGCTGCCCTTGATTCCCCCTAGAGGAATACTCCTAAAGTAGCCCAGGCATTTCACTGTGCCTACTGTAAGGGGGGGTGTATGTGTGTGGGGGGCGGTTTACAGCTTCTGTCAGTTTAAAGACCAGTTGCCCTAACCTCAATACCTGCAAGTATGTGTGCTGATGATGGGTGGATGGAGCTATGAGGCATGCACAATCATTAGTACTCTATTTCATGCATATGAAATATGTTTTAATATTGGCTATGTAATCAAAGTCACAGCTCATGTAGACATGGATAAATATAGATGTGTTTATGTGAAATGTACAAAGATACCAAAAGGACACCTTATGTTAGTTGATTAGTAAGTGGACACTAACCTGCGAATACTTACTTGATAGGCAAGCTTTCCCATCCAACAGAATTTGCTTATACATATCAGTAATTCAGGATTAATGTGTTTGTATTCTAGGACTTACACATAGAATTTTGAAGCTCTGGAAGGGGCCTTTGAGATCGTTTAATCCTCTGGCTTACCTAATGTACATAGCCCCTTTTGATAAATTCTCTGAAAGAGAATTGTCCACCTTCTGCTGCATCTCTTTCAGTGATGGAGTGGTGGCCCAACTCACTTTTGGGCAGTTCTACTTATTGGAAAATTCTTTCTCATATTGAACAGAAATGTGTCTCTTTTTAACTCAGTGGTCCAAGTTCTGCTCTGTGTGAGTTCAGGTTTCGCCTCAGACACTCATTGGCTTTGTGACCTTTGTCAAGTCACTGACCCTCTCTCACACATACTTTCCTCATCTGTAAAATAGGAATAGCAGTAGCACCTCCCTCCTGGGGTTGCTGTGAGGATCCAATGAGACAGTATTTCGAATGAGACAAATCTCAGAGGACTCTTTAAAAGCTAGCTGTTGTTACAAAATGAGTCTTTGTGATAGCATTTTAGATATTTGAAATTAGCTATTATATCCCTAATAAATCTTGTATTTCCCAGAGTTAAACACGCCCAGTTCTTTTAATCAGATACCATCTAACATGTCTAGACAATCAGGGTTGTTCTCCTTTTTTGTTTGTTATTCCTCTTAAAATGTGGCTTATAGTTTTGGTTTTTTTTTAATATAGAACTAGATGTTTAAAGGCATCTGTCGAAACATTCTGTCTGTGTTACCTTTATCAGGAAAATGCCTACGTTCAACAATGGTATAGGAAAAATTCTTAGAGACATTCTATCCTTGTAAAAATATGGTAGAATGGACATTTTTATGCAAACTGTTTATACGTGTGTATAAATCTATATGTGTGTTTGGTCAACAGGTGGCGACAGACAAGGTTGCAGGGAAGCTGAGTTCCACTCTCACATGGGTGAAGAACACAGTCTCGCAAACAGTCAGTCAGATGGCCAGCCAGGTGGCAAGTCCATCTGCTTCTTTACATACGACGTCCTCCTCCACCACCCCGTCCACACCAGCTGTTTCACCATCTTCTCCATCACAGCTGAGTCCAGACGACTTAGAACTCCTGGCTAAACTGGAAGAACAGAACAGGTGAGTGGGATTGGTTAGTCTTCTTGCGTCTTTCAAAGAGCAGAAATCCTGAGAGGTGTCTTCTTTCAATTGTAACATAGGAGGTTCATTGGAAAGGGCTCATTACCAATGTTCTAAGACCTCTCTTAAGTGGAATCAGTAATTAGCTGAAATGTCATTTTTAACGTATCATATAAAAAAAATTACTGTTTGTTGTTTGTAGTCTCTGTTCTTATTATTGTTTATGTTTGCCTAAAACCCAGATTATAAAAGATCTGGATCAGATCATGAGAAAATCTTTATCTTGTTTGGGATGATTTGTGTCATATTTTAGAGTTTAGTACATGTTTTTTAAAAGTGCAGTATTTTTTTGTGTATGTCTTTGAATTGAGTAGGTAGGTTATTTAAACTTATGAGTTAGAACTACTGGACAGTGGCCTTTGAAACTAGCTGAAGGTTCCAATACAGTTTAATTTCAGCTCTGACTTAGAGGTGGGAGAAAGAGGTCTCTGCAAGTTTATGCAGGGAAGAGACATTGTCTCTTCCTCTTATTCAAGAATGGAATTTTCAGGGGCAGCTAGGTGGCGAAGTGGATAGAGCACCGGCCCTGAAGTCAGAAGAACCTGAGTTCAAATCCGGCCTCAGACCAAACACTTGATACTTACTAGCTGTGTGACCCTGGGCAAGTCACTTAACCCCAATTGCCCCCCCAAAAAAATCTAAAAAAAAAAAAAGAATGGAATTTTCAGTTATACATGTAAAGCCAGTTACTTCCCCTGGGAGTCACGTCCACACGTCTTCACATGCTACCCTCACATCTCTTTGTGCTGTCGGTCAGAACTGTTGGAGCCAACTTGCTACCCAAGTTACCAGCTCCCCAGGGGAAGAGAAAAGGGAACTGTTCCCATCTCTGCCCACTGCAGTTCTGTTCAGTGAAGAGCAATACTCAATACCATTGTGCCATAAGAATATAGAATACTAAAATTTAATAAGCATATTCTTTATTTGGTTTCAGAATTACTTTCTGTTAGGAAGGTATGTGCAAATGTTTAAATTTTTAAAAATTCAGAAATGAATGTGTTTCTCTTTAAATTGTAATGTGGTCTTAGTGGCATTGGACTAACTTTTAGATGATTAGATGAATTCATTCATTCTTGGTGCCCTTACTAACTTTTCTAATAATGACTGCTGAGAGTATCTTCTCAAATTTGGGGGCGTTTTTAGATCCAGCTTAGCTGGCTATAGTATAGATTTCCAAAAGCAATCACATTCATTTCTTCTGTCCTTCCTAATTCTCTGTATTTGGCAATGTGTCTGGGAATAGAATTTCCACAGTACATTTTCATTGTTCTCCCGCCTGCCTGGCAGAACTAAAGTAAGTTGTCCTTATTATTCTTTACTCCTTACTTCCTATATCATAGTAAGGTGCATTTAAAATGATGAAATCGTGACCATTTTGGTGATGGATTGTCGGATTCCTGACCACTTTGGATTGTGGACATTTCACTGAGCAGAGCTGTTCCTTTGAGGTGGGGTTGGGGGTGTTGTGGGATTTGTGGTTTTGTTGATGTACAGAACTGTTAGTGAGGAAACTCCTCCAGCCTGCAGATTGGTCATCGCTGTGCTGTTTGTAGTCACAGAGAGATTGAGGGTCTTTCTCAGGCCATCCAGTCAAGTGGCAAAGTTTATTGTGACGCCAGTAGAAGCTGAGAAGTTCCTCAGGGAATTTACAACCTAATAGGAGTGATATTAAAGCTTATATGCAAAAGGAAGAGTGAAAACAATGCCAGGTATGCTAATTAGGTGATTTGGGGGTGGGGTTAGGGAGTGGTCAGCACATGCAAGTAGTCTAGGTGCTAGGCTGCTAGAATATTTTGAAAAGTTCAGGGAGTCAGCAGAGAAAGCTCAGTGGATACCAGATACCGGGGGAGAAGAGACGAGATAGTTCTGTTCCAGGTGCCAGAGACAGAGTCCTTGGGCAGGCACTCCCTGTTCCTGCACTGATAGCCTTTGTGTGCTGGCAACAGGGAAAGAGTTTTCTCACGGGGGCTTTGCTGGGATTCTGGGTTACTTCCGGAGATGTGATCTTTGCTTTTGGGTTCCAGGTCCCACCGCCCCATTAGTGATGTATCTTTTGAAGATTTTAGGGGAAAGATAATGAATTTTATTTTGTGAGTGTTGATTTTGCAATACCTACTTTGGGACATCCAGTGTATAATAGGCAGTTTACTGGTACTCAGGAGAGAGACCAGGGCTGAATATATTAGTTGAGAATCATTTACATAGAGATAATAAATAATTAAATGCAAGCTGATGGAATTGCCACATGAGATAGAATAGAGGGAGAAGAGAAGAGGACCCGGAACAGAGTCTTGAGAGGGCACCCAGAATGAGTGAGTTATATGGGTGAAGATTCAGCAAAGGGAGACCAAGAAGACAGTGGTCAGCCAAGTAGAAGGATGAAGAGAGAGCCGTGGCCGGAGAATCTTGAGAGAAGGCGCAGGATCAACTTAGCGTTAAATGTTATAGTAAGATTAAAAATGATGAAGATTAAGAAAAAGTCATTCGATTTTAGCACCTGGGTCATTCTGTCAGTTAGTCAACCTGACTCTTTCTATCAGTGAGGATTCTTGTGTTAAGTAAGCATTGGGGATTCAAAGTGGAATAGAGCATGTACTCAAGGACCTTACAGTTGAACAAAGGGGACAGCCTGGGCACAGAATAGCACAGAATGAATACCAAGTAGTTTTGAGAGGGAGGGCCCTAGCAGTGTGGGAGGATTGGGAAGGGCTTTGTGTAGAAGGTGGCACACCAGCTGAACACGGAAGCAAACTTGTAGTCGAGCAGTGGTGAGGTTCACTCAGGATGTGGGTCCGGACGGTACGAAGGCCCAGAGAGGGGTGATGGAGCCACAAGTAGGTCGCCAGAGATGGATTGCAGAGTACCTGAGGAGACGGGAGGATAGAAAGGGGCCACACGTGCAGCATGGGGAGATTTCATGTCCAGGTAAGAATTTATGTTTGTTCCCTGAAGGAGGGATTGATCAGATGGATGACATGGTCAGACTACTGCTTTAGGAAAGCTACTTTGGCAGCTGGGTGTGGGATGTATTGGAATAAGGTAAGACTCGAGGTAGGAAGAGGTGATGAGATCCTGTACCTGTGCTGGAAGCTGGATGAATGAAGAGATAGGAATATATGTTTGATGTCTTAGATAAAGAAATGACAACATTTGACACCTGATTGGACATGTGGGGTGAGTAGTCATTAAGGATGATACCAAGGTTGAGAACTTGGGTGACTGTAAGACTGAAGATGCCTTTGATGTCAGTAGAGAGATTTAGAAGGGCATTGGGTTTGTAGAGGAAGGTAATGAATTTCATTTCTGGATGTGCTGAGTGTGAATTATTTTCAGGGTGTTCAGTTTGAAATGCCTGATGAGCCCTTCATGATGTTGGACTGGATCTCAAAAGAGGCTGGGGCTGCATATATCATTTTAGGATTCATGTTTATAAATATGGTAGGGGCAGCTAGGTGGCGTAGTGGATAGAGCACCGGCTCTGGAGCCAGAAGGTCCTGAGTTCAAATGCAACCTCAGACACTTGACACTTAACTAGCTGTGTGACCCTGGGCAAGTCACTTCACCCATTGCTTAGCCAAAAATAAAAAATAAAAATAAATTTAAAAAAATATATAAGTATGGTAATTGAACCAGTGGAAACTTGATGAAGTCACTGAGTGAGAAAGTGTTGAGAGAAAAGAGATGAGGTGTAAGGACAGAATTTTAGGGGGTATATGCTCAGTGAATCTATCTGACCTAGATGTTGAGTGAAGAAAGGACAGTGAGAATGAAAAAGCCACACAGGTATAGACGAACAAGAGAGCAGTGTTATGGAAACCCTTCAATGACAGCGTATGCAGGAGGGAGAGAGTGGTCAGCAGTGTCCAATGCAGCAGAGAAGACAAGGCTTGAGGAGAAATCATGAGATTTGGCAAGTATTTGGTCCTTTTGGAGAGAACAGTTTCAATTGAGTGGTGATGTTGGAAGGCAGATTGCCAAGGAAATTGGGAGGAGAGGAAAAGGGGAGAGAGAATGTAGCTTTATTTTTTTCCCCCTAGAAGTTTGGCTGAGAAAGACAATAGAAATACAGGGAAGATATCAGTGGTTTTTTTTAATCTTGAACCTTACTTATTTATGTTGAAAGTAAGTGACCAAGAGAGCGTCAGTGACTACTGACCTATGTGCTTGCTTTCCCATCTATACAAAATCATCAATGTGTACGTGAATTGAGGAACTTCTTGATAAGGGTATTGGAACCAGTGGGTTTTCACAAGCAGCATTCAACAATGGATCACATCTCTACCACCTCAGAATTGAAATGTATGGAAACTGTAAGATTTCATTGTGTTCATTGTTTGTTGGTCCCAAAAAAGCATTTAATTCTTGGAAATATTCTTATTCAGTGACACTCTGATATAAAACAAGGAGATGTATGCTTGCCAAAAATATTCACTGCTGTAATAGAGGAGATTCAGCTTAGAATTCAGGTCCAGGACAGATTCCCTAAGAATGGTGAGGTCCTCTAGATATCTGTTTGTAGATGACATAATATTGTCTGTATCAATCCCTAAAAGATTGCAGCAGCTCTTGGAAGAGATCTGTAATTACTCTAAGAAGTTTGGCTTGTCCATCCTTTCAGGAAGGATTGTGGATAAAGTGGATTAAAAATGTCCATTTTCCAGTACTTGTCCTACAGTATATGTGTCTGGGACAGATAGTACAGATGAACAGTGAGCTGGGCCCAGAGTTGAAAAGGAGGAGGAGAGTGGGCTGGATTTGGAAATTGCCGAGCTCTTTTACTGGTTTCCAACCTTCCTGTCAATGCAAACAACCATCTTTAAAGAACAAATTTTTTTTGAACTTTCTTTAGTTTTTACATTTCAGTTTCCCTCTGTGTCCCTTCACCTAAATCTTCCCATAGAGCTATCCCATATAGCAAAGCTGGTGAAGTCTAGGTTTAT